TTAAGCGGATAAATGAACGCAAGTTGACACTTAACTGCCCGTAGATAAAGCCTGGAATCGGGTAACTGATTTTCAAGAGAAAAGGCATGACTGGAGGCATAGTCGGAGAGTTAAGGGGTAAACGTTGTTAAGAGTAAGTAGCTTCTAGAAGCATAAAACTGAACAAAAGATTGAAAGGAGAAGAAAATGAGGTGTGAATGGACGATGTAGTCTCATTGTTAGTCTTGGAATTCAAATAGTAAATGCTAATACTAACGCACAGTCAGATGAGCTACTATGGAAGCAGATCTAGAGCATATAATGTTCGAAAAAGTTATAAGGTATTTCTCCGGCATTCTTAGCATGCCTTCGCGGTGTAGTGGTCAGCACGATCGACACGTATTCGAGAAGTCCGTGATTCGAGTCCCAGTGAGGGCATTGCTCATTTTTCATCTCTCCTGCTTCGAAATAACATAATGTCTCTACAGTGGCGCCCGAACTAAAAGGTGGTCCCCCTTTAAAATACATAAGTGTATAAGGTATTTCTCCCGCCTTCTTAGCATGCCTTCGTAGTGTAGTGGTCAGCACGCTCGATGCGTATTCGAGAGGTCCATGGTTCGAGTCCCGGCGAAGGCATTGCTCATATTTCATCTCTAATGCTTCTAAGTAACCTAATGTCTTTACGAAGTAAGGTTGGTTTTAAGACTGCTAGTATTTGTTATAAAGTTGGTGAAACTTCCTTATTATTTTCGCGATTATCTTTTCCACATTACTATTTGAGGCATTCAAAATTACAGAATTTGAAAAAACTAAGAGAGCAATTCGAAAAGGAATTTTCGATTGTGTAGAGTAGTAGATTTTAGGAAAATAGTTTCCTGCATCTTAAATCTTCCTTAATGAAACTTAGAATTTGGTTTCTAAGCAATTACCATACTCGGCCCATGATAATGGGCTCGGACCATAATAATGGATTCAGAACATAATAATGGCTTATTTGATACCTGTTGGCTATATTCATGGTAGTTTATGTTAAAAGTATATGTTGAAATTGTTACAAGGTTTACATCACTAAGGATTTAAATAAAATGAACTAAACGAATTGTAATTTTAAATTATAACTAAATCCAGAGTTTAAATTATAAAATTTCCTAAGTAGTTAAAATTATAGTACTGCATTTTATTACTTTCTTTTTCTGTAAATATTAAATTAGGTAAAATTCCCTTAAAAATTCGTACTCTTTTTTTCTTTTGTTTCGACTAAGTTAATCACATTCTTCAATTTTAAATAGAAAATAAATCATCAGAAATTTATAAAAGGCAGTGAAACATCTCTCAAAAGAAGATTTTATTTGAAATTTCTTTTGTCAATTATATTCAAACATTTTATTTCAAATAAAGTTATGCAAAAATGAAATTCCATGACAAAATTTCTGATATCGCTGTTATAAGATGTAGCTTAATAATAGAGCATAACTGAGAAAATTGTGAAATTCAGGTAACTACATAATTATTCAAAACTAAAAACTATGAAATTTTAGTAAAAAGCCACTGCTTTGGATGTTGAAATAAACTATTTGTCTGTGCAGTGGTTTGTATGAAATATTTTAAATACATTTGATTGAGCAGGTACGCACAGAAATTAAGAGAACTGAGTGTTAATAAAATTATTATGATTAAAAAATGAATACGAATTGAAAGTATTTCAGAAATAATTTAGGCCAAGATTTCGAACGCTGTCGAAGCAAACTTCTTACCAAGACACAAACATAGTTTATTATCTTTTGAAATTGGCCTGATATTTTTATTCTGATTTAGTTTATTAGCAATCATTTTAAATGAAATTGTGACCTAAAGCACAATTTTAGTGTTTCCAGACAATATAATATGAATATTGTTTCTTAAACTTAAATTTACAATATTGCGTACACAACAAACATCAACAAAATTCATATTGAAATGAAAAATCAATGAAATCAATGATATAACAGGTGATATTAGTTCTTGGCTTTTAAGCAATTAGCTCCCGAGCTTTATGATATATTTGAGTAATTTCACTGCTTAAGCAAATCTTTAAAGAAAGATGAAAGAGGGTTGCATATAGTATTATCTTGAACGTTGTTAAATATAAATCAAATTCTCATTAGGTATTAAAATATCTTGCATCTTCATATTCTTATTAAAATGTTAAGCATAACTTCGTCTTATTTTGTGTAACACACATCTTCATGAATTTTGATAACATTTCGAGATCCATACTTAGCCCATTTCCATAGCGAATCTGCTTGAAATAGGAATTGTTTGAATTCTATTCAAAAATGGATATTACTGTTGTAAGTGATAATATTATATTTAAGAAACAAGGTAGCTTAAAATTTAAGATTAAATTTTATCATAGTTCAAAAGAAATGCTCTCCACGTCCAAAAATGAATCAGGAAGAACAAAAGAATTATTTAAGTAAAACTAAACTAGAAAAGCCGAAATCTTTTATTTGTATCAGTAAAGAGTATTTTGAAGATTTATGAAATACAAAGCAGTTTTATTTTTTTTTTTTTACCTTTCATTTTAAATTCATTTATTCCATGATGAATCTAAAGAGAAAACTAAAGCTGTTTCAGATTTAAAGGCTCTCCGTTTAAGTGATTTGCTGCTGCGGCTTTACAATTTCTCAAGATGGAAAACTAATTTCATTACCTGCGTCGGGGGAGAAAGTCCCTTCTTTTAAATCGTACATCAATATCTTTTTTTCCCCGTCAAATCAAACGTTAGCCTGAAACATTATTTAAATCTGCTTACCTTCTACTGCTAAAGCAAAAGTGATTTTTTTATCTGCTTTTCCTTAATGAGAAATTTTCCTCGTTAATTAAGTGGGAAGGCTACAAAATTGTAGATGTGGGATCTTGTTAATTTTGTGGTAATGCTCTTACAAGCCGATTTGATATTTTTTCTATTAAAAACTTTATAATTCCATATCGTACTTTATGAGGTCTTTTGGCAGTATATTCCTTATTACACAATATGCGCACATATTAAAAGTTGCATCTATAAACTACGCTTATCCTTAAGTTTGGAATACGCTGTATGTTTGTGCATATTTTAGATGGTATGTGCTTTTATGCACATTATAGTATTACTATATTTTGGCATCGTTAATTCTAGTCCATTCAGCCTTCTCAAGGTAAAGGAAATACATTATCAATTTTTATTTAATTCGTGGTCCTTTCCACGATGCTACGATTTTTCAATCTCCCCAAAATAAGCCAAATATCCATAAAGTTTATTTTTTAAATGGCAGTTTTATTTTTAATTGCATATATTTTTACATAATCAGATTAATACATTTTTAATTTGCAGGTGCTCTATTTTAAATAGATACCACAGCAATTAAAAAAGAATTATTCAAACACTTGAATTTCAAATACATGTTTTAATTTTACAGCTACGTAAAGATTCGATTTTAAATTTTAACGTGAGGATGGATATATACATGAAACTTTTGTGTTCAATACTTTGCTTCTTTAGTATATTCTGCCTGATGCATAAGTCTTCGCAGATGGCAGAACTATTACTTATTTAACTGTATGATCTATCCATATGACTTAACGTCTTAAAGGAAAACCTACGTAAAATTAAAAGTAAGCACATATTTAAGTCTTATCATGCTTTACCTTACTCTTGTGGCATTTTATAAAGTATGCAGTCATTTAATAACTTTTGTTTTTAAAACCGAAATGAAGTTGTGGTATTTATTTACTTCTTTCATTAACTTCTCTCAGTTTTTAGTTAACAGAATAAAGAATAAAGAAACAGTTTAAAATAAAATAAATTTTTGAAGCTTTTTGACTAAATCGTGTACTTAGATACTACAGATTTTACCCATCTATAAACTATGTTTTTGAAATTTATGTAACTCTAGGAGGCTAGTTTTGAAAGAATATGTTTGCTTCACTATATGCAGCTGACTTCAAATTTTTTATTTATATCCTCTAACATTCGCCTAGTTGATCTTTGCCGTTATAATTGTCAATTATGGCAAATATTAGAAAATGAAATTATTTCTATACGCAATTTATAGCTCGCTGCCTGTATGTATTATTTGTGCAAATTAATTTGAAACAATGGCGCCTACCAGATGTTTTAATTTTTGTTTATTTGTATAGGTTACTAAACATTTTAAACTACATTATAAGCTTCTAATATTTAATTTGAAATATCAGCAAAACAATGAAATACACTTTTCTCTTTAATTAAAATTTCGATTCAATTTTAGATAAAAAAATTAAAAGACTTTGCCTTATATCTATTGGACTAAAACGTAAAGTCTTTCATTATGTCTTATTTTTGTTTGTGAAATATTTCTAATGAAATAAATTCATAAAAAAATGAAAGCAAATATTTCGAAAAAGAATGCAAATATTTTTTTATTATGGATAATTTGATTTATTTCTCGAGTGTATTATAAAGTAGAACATAAAACGTAAATGCTACTCTCTCATCTGAGATGGATAAATTAATTTGCAGTCATCTAAATGTCAGATTCTAGTCCAGTAATGAAGAAATGAATCGTACTGCATCGATATTATATTAAGTATATGAAAAAATACAACTAATTATACTAATTTGAATATCGGTCCTCTTAAAGCAGTGAAATATAATTTTTTTTGAAAATTAGAATATTTAAAAAGTACTTCCTGTAAATTCTTCACTGAATGAGTATTTAGAGTACCATTCACATTCAATGTGCAGTTGTCTGGAAAAGGAGTAGTGATCCTTAAGTTTAAATGCTGTTTTCAGTTTTGCTACACGTCTTTGCAAACTGCCAAATTAAATTACTGTAAAGTCATCCTCTATAACCGTAAGCTTGCAGATTAATTATTTGCATAATTTCATGGTATCGAACTTTGAATTCCTAATTACTGAGAGATCGAGTATAATGAATATTAAGAAAGTGTTTGATAACTGCATGTCTTGAGATATAGAATAAAACACGAAATGCCCATAACATAGTAGAAGGAATACTTACCATTATCGGAGTCATAGAGATAAATTATCGTTTTCCATTTATAATAATTGATGACATCGACAATAGCTCGTAGGTAACGTGGTCTGAGATTTACTCCTAGATGAGAAGGCCTATCGGAACTTGTTTGTTGAGGAAAGGCAGGGCTGACCAGCGGCATCTGGAACATATTTGAGTAGGCCGCAAATGTGTCATAAGAGGGGTCACTTGTTGGAGCTATTAATGTAAATATACCCCTCTCCATTTGTGAGCACACTGCAATAAAATATAAGCCATAAATATAGTGCTGGAAACAAGTTAAAAATTTCTATATATATACACTTAAAATCCAAGGAAAAGTTAATTTAACAAATATATATTTTCAAAAGGTTTTAGATGAGGCTTGAAATACATATTCCAGAAGTTGTAGTATAAATCGTAATAAATTCTGACCATCTGAGCAGAGAAAAGAGTGTGCAAACAGTAGACAATTGAAACTTTTTAATTCATTGCCTCTTTTCATTTTTGGATTTAGCAGCCTTCGGTCTTACTTGTCATTTTTGTATAGAAATTTAGTCCACTTTCTAGAGTTATTAAGTTTATTTAGGAGCATGAAACATGTGCAAAGCCTATTGAAGATTAGAGGACCCAGATCACCAAATCCAAAAGGACATATACCAGAAATCTTAATAATATTTAGTAAACTCAAGATATTTTCTATAACATTTTTTCCCACTAAGATAATCCTTTTACTTTTTCATAATAAAGCTTAGTTCTTTTAATTTAATCGTCACAATTCAGTTTCTTTACCAAAAAGCATTACTACTGAATTTCAGTTTCACCTTTATTGATTCTCTACATTACTCATTGATTGTTTTTTATGTTGAGGAATGCTAGGAATCGGCGAATTTATTAGTTATAAAAATATTTACATGCACTATATATACAGACTTTCAATTAGTTTTAGTTCAACGTAGTCTGAGTCTTACACAGGTGGAAGGCTCGGTTGCCGTTTATGTTTCTGCACATCTGATTGTTGTCCTTTGAAAGGTCTAGTAGTCTAAAGTAGTCTAATTGTCTAAAGTAGTCTAAAGTCTTCATTAAAGTTTCAAAGTTCAAAGTTTGTCTAAAGTCTTCATCCCTGAAAACGTTTTGTTACTGAAAATTATTGCTCTGTTACTAAAACAACTAGCCACTTTGTTTATCTCAGATTATAGGAATAGCAGAGCTTGTCTGCGAACTCGTACGCTTTTAACTTCTAATTAAATAAAATTTTGGTTAAAAAAATGAGAAATCAAGTAAATTATCACTACTTCACAGGAATCTAAATAGCTACCGTAGGTAGAGATATTCCCTATTGTTCTTCTCCTCACCAGAAGAAACTTCTTTCCGTGTTTTTTTCGCGGTACAGGTCAAAGATTATACAGCTCTTAATTGGAAATTAATAGTAAGAAACATATATCTGTCGATTAGACTTTTCTTTGAATTCGTTTACCCACAAACTATTTTTTCTGTTTATGCAGCATTAAATAAGATAATGAAACAAACTTAAATCCCCGTTAAATGTGTAACAGCTATCCTGTACATTATATTTTTCGAACTAAGTATATATTCCTTATGACATATATATACTATATATATAAACCGTCAATGTCATATATATATATATATATATAAATCGTCAACTCTGAAAACGATGGACTCATCATTTCTGTTCTTTCTTTGATTGTCTCACAGCATAGGGATAAAAAATATAAACAAATTTTAATTTTTTTGATTTAGGTAGTGTAATTTAGTTTTTACTTACATGTTTGACCGATCTTGTAGGAATCATCGCTTTCTAAAACTTCAACAACTGGTTCCACCTTAAATCTAGCTTGAGAATCATTATTATTATGAAAGGATATTGCGTAATTGAAGGCAGTTTGCATTTCTTCTGAGCCTGGAGTAAATATAGCACCTGAAAAGAAAAACAAATTGCACTTCGTGTATACTGATAGTAATTAAATTGTTTTTTTGAAAAGAGGTACTGGTTTTTTGTTTGATACCAGTTTTTAAAAATAAATGTAATCAATTTATTTACGTACGTAACTGAAGCTTGAAGAGCATTATGTAACGTTTGAAAATGTATAAAAATAAAAATTTAATTTTAGTCATAAACTACAAACATAATTTTAAAATAATCTGAAGTAAAACAGAAATATCAACAGATGAGTTTTTTTTATACTTCGTGATATATATAAACATATAAGTAAGTTTTTAAACAGGACATATTTTTCATAAGTAGCCATCATAAAATGAAATAAATTACCCAAAATCTTGTTTTACTTATTAAGTTCTTGCGATATTTTTGAAAATGTTGGGCTTTAGTTAACAAGCATAAACATTTGTGATTCTGTATGAATTGCAAAAAGAATTTCAGTGAATCAATTAATAAATAATAAAAGAACCATAAAATAAATCTTGTTTAATGAATCGAAACAGTTCGTAGTCTCTCTGAGGGTATAAAATATATTTGAAGTATTCATTCCTATACTCTTTCAAATTTTATTACGGAAGAATTTAGAATTAATAACAATTTTAATGGATGTTAATTAAATTACCAGAACTTCAAATCAACTTCATAATTCTAGAGACAGCAACAAAAAAAAAATGAAATCTAAAAATCTACGCCTTTAAATTCTCGGTTAATAATGCATTTTAAGGCACTGAAGTGTCTTTTTCCAGCTTACTAGCATTCAAAATTGCGCTCACTTCAGAGAAATGCATAAGATATCACGAAGTATAAAAAAAAAACTCATTTATTGATATTTCTGTTTTACTTCAGATTATTTTAAATTAAAATTACTACTATAAAATATTTGTAAGTGAATTATATAAAGGTTATTGAGGTGCGAAGCACATACACATTGAAATAGTCGATGTTAAAGATCATCACTTACAGCACATGTCCAGAACGAGCAATTTTAAAAGCAAGTAATTTACTTAAAGAATATTAACGAACCTAACGCATGTATTAAGTTGTAAGTAACCTAACTTATGAAACAGCATTACCCGTGTGTATACAACAACTGCTTTTAAATCTTGGTTGTTTATATATACACTGCTAGCAACCCAAATTGCAACACCAAGAAAAACAAGAGATATCACAACAAAATTTATTTAGTAGATAACATGTTGACCAAGTATCAAATGATTAAATTTATATACTTCTGTGTAGTGTGGTTCCTTCCAGAATCAGTAGCCAGAGTAGCCGCCATTGTTGGAGATCACCGCTGCCACACGCCTCGGCATTGAAAGAGACTTTCGATGTGTTCTTGGGGTACAGCAGACCAAGCAGCTTCCACACGCTGCCAAAGTTGATCTTGTATTGCAGCTTGGGATGTAATCTGGGTCAATCATTCAGCAACCATGGACCACATGTTTTCTATCGGCGAAAGATCAGGAAAGCGAGCCGGCCAGGGAAGCAATCCAATCTGGCGATTGACGAAGAACCCTTGAACCTTGTGGTCGCGCATTATCCTGTTGAAATATGACTGTGGGCAAGCCCTGAAGTTAAGGAAGGACAACTGGCTCCAACACCTCGGAGATGTAGCGCTGGCCTGTAAGATTCTTACTAGTGTAATTTCTCAGTTACTGTAGAAAGTGACGAATCTCAAGAACTAGTTAGCGCATAATCGCTTAAGTTCGTAAAACAAGAAACAACAAGAGATATACCCGAAGCTATCAAGATTCTAATCGAGTTGGCTCCTTAACTCTATTTGACTACGAAGCTTATCAAGGGCCTGAGTGCGGCCGTGCGTAATAACAGCTTTTAGAGAGAGTAGCCAAAAGGCAGACGCACGCAAATCAGAAACTCTGATTCTCTCTAACTCAGCAAGTAGACTTCGCGGTTTTAAATACCGCTCAGTATTCAGAGTATTCAGAGTGATTCCGAAACTACGTTCTGGCCGGAAGTAGTAAGTTGAAGTTAAGAATTTGACAGGAAAGAAGTTTAACTTATAATTTAACCGTTAATAAAATTAACATAATCCTTACAGACTGTTTAAAGTACAGGCAATGCGTACTAGAGGAGTGCGAGAGTGATATTCAGTACCGCCCCATATGATGTTGCAGACAGAATCGACTCGTCAGTAAAGAAAATTTCATTCCATTCTGCCGTCCACATCCATCTTTCATCGCATCATTGGCGATGGAGACGTCTGTGGTTCCGCGTCAAGGGTAGACGAAGTAATGGACGGCTTTTGGGCAGACCACTCTGCTGTAAACGGCGTCGAATGGTACGCGCAGACACTGGATGATGCGTTACAGACTGAATGTGCTGTGCTATGGTTCGTGATGTGACTGAGCGATCCGTCACTGCTATGCACACAATGTTCCTCTCGTCATGTGAAGTGGTGCACTGAGGTGGATGCGATCGAACACGTCGGGTCCGTCGTACCCTCCTGCATCCAACGGTCACATATCCGCCTTACAGTTGTTTGTTTTCGTCCAACACGACTATCGATTTCCCTGAAAGATATTCCACACTCTCGGTAGGCCACTATCCTTCCTTTGTCGAACTCGGATACTTGATCAAACGATGATCGCTGTTTACTACGAGGCATAATTGATCGTTTTTTTTAAAAAAAAAAAAAAAAAAAAACTACAAGTAAAGCACAATGCCGAACTTGAAATCGTCGAAAACTCCAAGCCTTCAATAGCGTTTTGAAGTGGCGCCACAGGCGCGCGTGATGTGCGTCTGCGCTGAAATTCTAATCATTTGCATATCTCACCACCGCTAACGCATGCTGTAAATTCCATGTTATTTGCAGGTTTCCTTCAGCGTGTTGCATTTACGGTGGCCATCAGTGTACAATAAATATCTGCAGATCTACCATCCAAATATGTAGTTATTTAGAAAAATGCTGGCATATTAATCTAACAGTCGAATATAACTTCGATTAAAAAACCACAACAGAACGGGAGAAAGACGTCTGCTTGCATACAAATACTCAAGGGAAAGCACGAAGCTCAAACACGAAAATCTATCACTAAAACTAATTTTCATTCTTGTGAACAATGTAAGTATTTATTAGTGACACTGGTAAATTTTACAATTAATGCTGTTTATTTAGGTCCTTAAAATAAGAAAATCTGAATTTTAACGTATCTCAGAAAATCTGAAAGTCTGAAAAATGTACTTAAACTGCTAACTACACTCTCTTGCCAAAAAACATATATACACCCAGAAAAACAACTGAGTCACAACTATAAAATGCGGCATGAGAATCCAGTTTGGAAAGTTGTGTAAATGATAACACTTTTAGCACCAATGAGCACTCTCGAGCAATACAACGTGCGTCTGAAATGTGCAGTTGGTAGAATGTAAAACGACAGGTGCTGCGAGTGACGAACATTTACAACCGCGCTGATGGCTTGGATCCATGACATTGTAGTCAAAGTTGCTTTTAAGAGGTACTCGTTGACGTAACGAACAGTTGTCAGACCTTGTGAAGGGTCGCATCATGGAGTTAAAGCAGGCCGGTTGATCGAACAGGCTGATCGGCCGGCATATTAGTCGCAGCTATATGGCTGCTGTCTGTGGTTGGAATTAGTGGCTCAGCGAAGGCCTCCCAAGTAGCACACGACGTTGCAAACTGGTCCGAGAGGTTGCAAAGTGGTCGTGGTAACTTTTACGACGTCTTTACAACGTTGCGACGACGCAAAATATCTACTGTTCCATCTTGGCAATTTGACGAAGTAGCTGAAATGTCATGATATGACCGCTTTTAGACGTGGTCGTTTTAGAAATTTTTTCATAATTCATCAGCGTTATTTTTAGAATGAAAAGAGACTAAAACTGCCCTTTCAAGAATCTGAAGTCCGGATAAGATTTACTTTGCAATGTTTCATTACTTTATTTCATCTAAATATATTAATCTAAGGTAGATTCATCTAAGAAATATAAATTAATATAAATACTTTGAATTATTAAATTTAATTAGTACTAAAAATAGTGCTAATTAGTGTTTAAAATTTTGTTAAAATAATTATACTTAAAATATTTATTTATAAATATTAACAATATTTAAGAATGAAACTAATATATAAAGTAAGTTATTAGTTATGCATTTATATTTTTTTAAAAATCATATTTCCGAAATCAATGCAATCACATGTTAGCATTTTTCACTACTGAACTATGGCTTTATTTAATATTTAATATTAATATGACGAGCCCGATAAATATTATTTGTAAATTTAACTCTGTGAACATTGTTCGTAATTCTATTCATGTAAAATAATTCTTCTAATCCATTTATAAAAGATTCTATTAAATTATGCACCGTCGAAAGGTCTAATGCAATCGTATAACTCGCTGAAAAGTTACTCTGAAACGCTGTTTAACCGATGACATCATTACAATTTTTGATTTTTAATACGAGTATAATTTACTGAATGATTATTTAATACGAACATCTGAGCTCGAGGCTTGCGCGCTTTGGCTGACTGCCAAATTGGAACACGTTAGTTAAATGCGCATATAGTGATGGCAGTTTATTTTGAATTGAGGAGAAATCATTGTTTTAGTGCCGAATTTCTGGTTATTTTGTTTGTGAATATCTGCTCTACAAGACCACCTCAAAATTTTGAATTTTGGATTAAAGAAAATATCTGTTGCAGCGTGCTAAAATCGTCCATATACAATTAAATAGTTTTCTGTTTTTCGGTGTTTTATGTGTTACCAGTGATTAAAAGTATATGGTGGTTTTCTCCAATCTTCAGTGAAACCAGCGGTGCAATATTTGGATATACGGATTAGCGATTCGGTTATAACGTCCTAAGTGCTATATCGTATATCATTCATTTTAATCAATTATTGTGTTGGTGCTCAGAATTAATTCATATAAACCAAAAACAACATGCAACGTTAAGACATTTTCTGATTTTGCTGAAAATGCAATCAATGCAGAAGCA